AAAGAGAAACCCCAAAACTGTCTTTTAAATGTGGAAACATTGAAACATACTTTCAAATAATTGATAGGTCAAAAAAAATCATGACAGAAACTTCAACATATTTATAACTTTATGATAATATGATTATCAAAATTGGTGGAATGAAAAGATTTACAGTCTTACATACATGTACTGGAAAATAAGAAAGATTGAAAATTAATACACTAAGAATCCAATTCAAAGAGTTATAAAAAGAGGAAATGGAACAATCTAAAGATAGGTGAAGACAATCAGTAGTTAAAAATTTTACCAGGCCCAAACAATTTCCCTGGTTAGTTCTAATACATTTTCCAAGAACAGGTAACCCCTACCATAAACAAATTGTTTCATAAAATATAAAAAGGTGTTTGGGAGGTCCTCTTTTTATAAGCTTGATAAAACACTGAAACACAAACTGAACAAGGACAATATAAGAAAGAAAAAAATTATGAGCCAATCTCACTTATAAACATAAACAGAAAAATTATAAATAAAATAGTAGCAAACAGAATCTAACAATGTACAAAATAATCATGCTGAACATCCGAGTAGGGTTTATCTCAGGAATGCAAAGATGTCTTAACATTAGAAAATATTTTAATGTAATTCATCACAATAGCAATTAAGGGACAAATACAAATGATTATTTTAGTAAATGCTGGAAAAGCTTTTGATCAAACTCAAAAGGCATTCATATATTTTTTAGAAAACTTAGCAAACTAGAAACAGAAGAAAACTTCTTTAACTTGATAAAGGGTATTTATCAAAAACTTATAACAAGTTCCCTTTTCCCTTTAAAGTTCCAAATTCAACATCGTACAAAAATCCTATACAGTGCAATACAGAGAGAGGGAAAGAGAAGAGGAAGTGGGGAAGGCAGAAGAAGGGAGGAGGACGGAGAGGAAAGAGAAAGGAGAGGAGGGAAGGAAAGAAGAAAGTAAAATGGGAAGGAAAGAAATAAGAAAGGGAAAGAGGAAGAAGAATGTGGGAGGAAAAATGTTCCTCAACCCTTCAAAGATTCTTCCAGCTGGTCTGAGAATTAAAGTGACATGACACAGATTAATAAAAGAAAAGAAAATTTAATTTCATACATATAGGAACTCCACACGTATGAGAGGTTCAAACACAGAAAAATAAAGTTAGGTATATATGCCATTCTGAGCTAGGGAATGGGATAGGGGCCTGGGGCTTCAAAGGTGAAGAGGGCAATAAGAAGGGCAGATGTTTGGTAATTAGATGTTTGCCCTGCCGCACGGATAAGTTACTCAGATAAAAATCATCTCTGGTAATAATTCTTGTTCTGAGAAAAACTCCCAATTTAGATTCTTCTATATAGTTAAGAGAGGGGCAAGTTTCTCTTGAGCCCTCAGGGTCTCAAATGCCTACAATTCAAATTTGTCCACATGCCAAAGTGGCACATTTTAGGGGGACTTGTTCTGAACCCCTTCAGGAGGAAGGAAAGGAGAAGAGGTGTAAAGATTGGAAAAGGAGAAACAAAACTGTCATTACTGTCTGAAAATAAGGTTGTTTACATAGGAAGTGAGAAAAAAAATTATTTTAAAAAAAACACCTTAAAATTTAAACAGGCTATATAGCAAGTCTGCTAAATACATGATCAACATATAAAATTCAAAAGTATTTTTTACAGCAGTTACAACTGTTTAGAAAATGCTCTTTAAAAGCATCTCACAATAACCAGCAAAAGTATAAAGTGCCCAGGAAGAAATCTATAAAAGCTGTATAAGGCATTTGTGAAGAATCTTCACTAAAGCACCTAGAATAACACTTCACACAAACTGGGGAGCTTATTTTGTTCATGTTATGAAATTCAAAAATAAGTATGTTAATTCATCCTAAATTTCTCTATAAATTTAGTGTAAATTTCAATTAAAATGAAATTTTAAAAAATTTCTGAAATTCACTATTCAAATTGAATAGTAAAAGCCAAGAGTAGCCAAAATGATGTTAAAAATAAGAATGACATATTTACGGGCGCCTGGGTGGCTCAGTTGGTTAAGCGACTGCCTTCGGCTCAGGTCATGATCCTGGAGTCCCAGGATCGAGTCCCACATCGGGCTCCCTGCTCAGCGGGGAGTTTGCTTCTCCCTCTGCCCCTCCCCCCTCTCATGTGTTCTCTCTCTCTCTCATTCTCTCTCTCAAATAAATAAAATCTTTAAAAAAAATGACATTATCATTTTTAAATGATATTTACTTACCAAATGTCAAGATGGATGACAAAGCTATAGTAATTCAGATAGCATAGTATTGGTTCAGAAAAAGATAAATAGGGGCGCCTGGGTGGCTCAGTCGGTTAAGCTTCTGCCTTCGGCTCAGGTCATGATCCCAGGGTCCTGGGATCGAGCCCCACATCAGGCTCCCTGCTCAGCGGGGAGCCTGCTTCTCCCTCTGCCTCTGCCTGCCTGCCTGCCTACTTGTGATCTCTCTCTCTCTCTGTCAAATAAATAAATAAAATCTTAAAAAAAAAAACAGAAAAAGATAAATATATCAACGAAATAGAGGAGAGAATTCAGAAACAGTCCAGGCATATGTGAGAGTTTATATACTAAATAAACGATACTTGATATAAGTTGGTATTACAAATCAATAGGGAACAAAGGAAGCATTTAATAAATTATGCTTTGGTAATGGACTACTAATATTGAAAAAATAATTAAACCTTCACCTCACAGTGTTACCAAAATCAATTTGAGACCGATCAAATGCCAAAAGCAAAATTGTACATCTAGAGGGAAATATAAGATATAGGATATCTTTATTCTAGGATGTCTTTATATAATGGGATAGGAAAAGTAGATCTTAAATGAGCAAAAAAAAAAAAAGGCAGAAAACAAAGAAATAATTCAAGATGAGAATCTATATGGCAAAAATACATCATTAAAAGGTTTAAATAAAAGCATAAATGGAAGACTGTATCAGTAACAAATGCAACCAAAAAAGGATTAGCATCCAGAATATTAAAAAGAAAAACTATCACATTAATAAGAAAAAAATGAACAACGTAACAGATAATTGGGCAAAGGGTATAAACAAGGACCTCAAAGAAAAGGAAAGCAATATAACCTATAAAATTATGAAAAGATTCTCAATTCAGAGATGCCTAGGTGGCTCAGTCTGTTAAGTGGTTGACTCTTGATTTAGGCTCAGGTCATGATCTCAGTGTTGTGAGACTGAGCCCCGCATGGGCTCTGAGCTCAGCACAGAGTCCACTTAAGATTCTATCTCCCTCTACCTCTATTTCTCCCCCAATTCACACTTGCTGGCTCTCTCTCTAAAATAAATAAAATCTTTAAAGAAAAAAAAAAGATGCTCAATTCACATGAAATCAGAAAAATATAAATTAAATCAATGAGACATTTCTCTGTCAAAAGATAAGCAAATATTAAACTTCTACAAAAATTATCAAGAATATGAAGAGGAAATCCCACTCACTGCCATTAGGAGTATAAATCCATACTATAAAAAGTGTGAAGTTGACTCATCAATTCCACTTACAGGTATGTTCCCAAGGAGATATTTACAATTACTCACTGAAGCATAATTTATAAAATAATTGTACTGAAACATCTAAATATCAATATGGGAAAGAATAACTACATTATAGTATCCTATAATGCAGGATTACAGGAGAGCAAGTAAAATGAACCAGCTCTAAACTAATCATTTTGTTAACCTTTAGCAGCTTCTTTGAGCTTCTTTTTGCTGCTTTTGTTTTAATCTGTACAATGGAAACATCAATGTCACAAAATGAAATGAAAAAGAGTAATAAAGAATTCAGTAGAAAGCACAACATACATGACAGCTCCTATGTGATACTAGACTCATCAGAACCTGATGTTCTCTTATCTGGGAAACAGGTGTCACTGACATTCTCTGAAAGACGGACAGGAATGGGATATATGATTAGAAAATTTTAAGTAAATATTTACTAAAACTTCTTAAAAAATGAGAAGAGCAGCTAAATAGGAATGAGGATTAAACAATCAAATGAGGCCCTAGCTCCCATTAGGGTCTCATAAAGGGGACTCTAGAAACATGAATCTATCAACATGTCTCATTCCAAAATAGTTACAGGCTCAGGACCATTATTTAATTTAAAAAAAAAAACTATGAAATAAAAATTATACTGAGGCAGTGTGTAAAGTTCTAACTTTTCACTATTTTCAGTTTTTATTTTGTGCTGAGTGGGAGCTTCAGATGACTCCAAGCAAGTAGGAAAACTGGGAACTGTATTTTTTTAATATTCAGTGTCTTTATATAAAAATAAAATCATCTTGAATAGAAAGCCTGTTTCTAGGAGTACTATTAAGCTATCTTGAGAAGTCAACTTATGACATTTTCCAGAGGGAATTTCAATCTGAATAATGCTGACTTACCATAAACTATGTGTCTGTCAACCTTCATAAGAGATAGAGGGACATTTGAACTTAGATCATAAAGTGATCTTTCGGAAAATCCTAAACCATATCCTGAAAGACCTAACAAGGGACAGAAGAGAAAACAGGCCCCCAGTGTTTGGACACAGCCTGCAAGACCCTTGCATTAATGCTCTGGCCCTTAATACAAATTGAGGATAAATGAAACATAAAAAATTATAAAGATTCTGAAAAAACAATCAATAGTAGTCAAGCAAAGCCAAAACAGATCAAAAAGTAAATTAATTACTCAGCTAGTAAGTATCTATGACAACTTGTGGAGGTGAAGAGAAATACATCGGAGAGCACTAGATAACTGGTGTTCACTTGGAGAGGAACTTCATGAAAAAAGATGTGTCACAAAGTACCACAAGTGCCTAAAGCTAAAAGGTGTTTCAACTTACACCGAGGAAAGAAACTAGCCATATTTAGTAATAAAAATCTAAAACATACAGCAAAAGGTCCATAAATACTTCCCTCATAACATTTCTCCCCAACTACAGTTGTGAGGCAGAAGGATTATTCAAAGCAATAGACTTGCAAAGCCTATTTTAGAAAATAATTGCATTTATTAATAAAAGGTTTTAAAATATCACTGGTACTTCACTTCACTTTCAACTGCAAAACATTGCGTCCACTAATGTATCTAAAAAGGAATATAATGGGTATTATATTAAACTCACATTTATATGTTTCGGTAATAAAAACAATTCACTTTATCAATAGAAACATTAAATAAATTCATACTATATTTAATATTGAGCTGCTCACAAATCTTTCCTGCTACTTATTCTAATTAGACTAGCAGCAAAGAGGCTGATACAGAAATATCAAGACATGTTCACAAGCTCAAGGAGAGGCATCCAGTCCTTCTTCCCCACAGCATCTAATCCAATGCTCAACACACAAGAGGTGCTTAATAGTATTCATTGATATGAGCAGGATACTTGTTAAGGAACATTTTGAAAACTTAATTGATACATTATTACCACTTATTTATATTAATAAAGCAATTAATAAAAGTTATGATGGTAATTCATCTTCACTAAAGTTTTTCTCTCCAATACATAATCCCATATGGAAAAAAAAGAATTGTAAATTAACTCCACTCTATTTCTTAAGTTACAGAACTCAAAAATTACAACAAAAATGGCACAATTTGAGAATTAAGTAAAAGTAGTCTATACCACCATCTAGTGGCCTCAGAATATAACAGTACAAAGAAAAGTACTTACCCAGGAATGTCACCAAAATATAAGCATCTAGAGTTTACATGTAGAGCTACTGCCTCTTTCCTACTCAGCGGGGACAGCATTCGATCCACCTCTCCTCCTTCCTTCTGTAGATCTGCATGAGCTGGACCTTTGGACAAAACCATGCAGGAATACCATCAAGTGAACTGTTACCTTTGCCACCTCATATAATTTCTTCCACCCTTAAATTGATACCTATTTGTTACACGAGATGCAAAACTGCATCTTTATACTCACTAAACCAAATGAGCAATAATTATAAACTGGCCAGAAAAACCTCATACACTGTGGTTAAGGGTATAAATTTATAAGACAGTTTGGCACTGTTTAGTAAAGCTAAATATGCGCATATCTTATGATCCAGCAGTTTCACTCCTAGGTATATAAACTAGAGCAGTGGTTCATAACCTCTAGTACACAGATCCTAAAGGTGTCTAGGTACAGAATTCAGAGGGCCTGATAACTTGGATGAAAAAATGTACACATTTAATGTCACCAACTTCTAACTGAAAATAAGCATTTCCTTTGAATATGAATGTAAGCAACAAATCACTGTTTTTTTTGTACATATCACAATATTATTAGCAAGATAGAGACTTTGTAACCAATAAAAATCATAGATATTTTCAAGTTCCATTAACAGATCAAAATTTCTTATATGTTTATCACTAATTCAAAATTATATCTCATATCTACTGATAGATCTTGCTACTTGGTACCCTAATAAAGAACTATGCCTATTTCTTTTTGAAGATTTGCTTTTATGTTTTCCAGCTTTTTTGAGATATAACTGACATATAACATTGTATAAGTTTGTTTTCTTTGTATCTCTTTTTTTGTAATTTATAATTTATTTTCTTTGTAACCCTATTCATTTGTTATACATTTAAAAACATCCGGAGGGAGCTCCTGGGTGGCTTAGTCAATTAAATGCCTTTGGCTCAGATCATGGTCCTGGGGTCCCGGGACCCCAAGTCCTGCATTGGGCTCCCTGCCCCGCAGGGGGCCTGCTTCTCCCTCTACCTCTGCCTGCTGCTCTCCCTGCTTGTGATCTCTCTCTCTCTCTCCTTCTCTGTCAAATAAATAAATAAAATCTTTTTAAAAAATAAAATAAAAAATGTAATAAAAACATCTGGAGACTATAGACTCACAAGATTTCCAAAGGGTTTTAAGACACAAAAAAGATTTAGAATGCCTGCCCTGAAAAAATACTTCCATTGGAATCTGGAAACATCTACAAAGAAAAACAGCTTTGTCCATATAGTCAGATGGACAAATAAATTAAGGAATGGAATAGTAAGGAACACAGAAATTAATTACTACAACTATATTAAAATGGGTGATTTTCAAAAAGCCTAAAGTTAAAGCTAAGAATTATGTAACAAAATTTTTAAAAATCTGATTCCATTTAAAGAAATGTCTAAAATAGACAAACCAAAACAATATCTTGTGTATTATTTACAAATGTAAATTTTAAAGCTATCAGTGTAATGATTAACACAAAATTTGAGATCATGGTTAATTCAGGGAGATCAGAGAGGGTGTTATAGAGAAAATGGTACCAGGAAAGACCATGAATTGAGCTTCTAGGTTGCTGGAAATATTTTATTCCCTAAGCTTGGTGGCAGGGGCAGAGATGCTCATTTTATTATTTTCTTTAAAATGTAGATACATTAAAGATACATTACATATACTTTTGTACTGGGGTGCCTGGGTGGCTCAGTTGGTTGAGTGGCCAACTCTTGATTTCAGCTCAGGCCATGATCTCAGGGTGCTGAGATCATGCCCTCCATCAGGCTCCGTGCTTAGTGGAGTGTCTGCTTGAGATTCTCTCTCTCCCTCTCCCTCTGCCCTTCCCCCAGATCACACTCACACTCTCTCAAATGAATAAATAAATCTTTAAAAGAAAAATAAAAGTAAAAAAATAAATGGTAATCTCAACAAATTCAAAAATCAAAGTCATACCATGAATTTTAGCTGACCACAATGCAATGGAAGTTAAATAACATACTACTAAACAATGAATGGGTCAACCAAGAAAGCAAAGAAGAAATAAAAATTACAGAAACAAATGAAAACAAAAACACAACAGTCCAAAATCTTTGAGATGCTGCAAAAGTGGTTCAAGATGGAAGTTTATAGCAATACAGGCCTAACTCAAGAAGCAAGAAAAATCTCAAATTAACAACCTAACCTGACACCCAAGGAAGTTAGAAAAAGAAAAACAAACAAACCCAAAACCCAGCAAAAGGAAGGAAATAATAAAAAGTAGAGCAGAAATAAATGATATAGAAGCTAAGAAAAAAAAAAACTACAGAACAGATTGAAGAAATCAAGAGCTGGTTCTTTGAAAAGGTCAACAAAATTGATAAATCTCTAGCCAGGCTCATAAAAGAAAGAGAGGACCCAAACACATAAAATCACTAATGAAAGAGGAGAAATGACAATCAACACCACAGAAATATGAAAAATTCTAAGAGAATATTATGAAAACCTATATGCCAACAAATTGGACAATGTAGATGAAATGCACAAATTCCTAGAAATATATAACCTACCAAAAATAAAGTAGGAAGAAATAGAAAATTTGATAAGACCAATTACCAGCAATGAAACTGAATCAGCAATCAAAAAACTCCCAAAAAACAAAAGTCCAGGACCAGACAGCTTCATAGGCAAATTCTACCAAATATTTAAAGAAAAGTTAATGCCTTTTCTTCTCAAACTACTCCAAAATATAGAAAAGGAAGGAAAACTTATGAATTCATTCTATGAGGCTAGAATCACTGTGACCAAAACTAGATAAAGACACCACAAAAAAAGAGGACTACCGGACAATATTTCTCACTAATATAGATGAAAAACTCCTCAACAAATTACGAGCAAACTGAATCCAACAATACTTTAAAACAATCATGTACCATGATCAAGTGGGATTTATTCCCAGGATGCAAAACAATCAATGTGATATGTCACATTAATAACAGAAAGGATAAAAATCATATGATCATTTCAACACAGACAAAAAAAAGCTTTTGACAAAGTACAACAACCATCCATGATTAAAAACCCTCAACAAAGTAGGTTTAGAGGGAATATATCTCAACATAATAAAGGCCACTTATGAAAAACCCACAGCTAACATCATCCTTAATGGGGAAAAACTGAGAGCTTTTCCTCTATGGTCAGGAACAAGACAAGAATATCCACTCTCACCACTTGATTCAACATCAAGAACTAGAAGTCTTAGCCACAGCAATTGGACAACTAAAACAAATAAAAGGCATCCAAATTGGTAAGGAAGAAGTAAAACTCTTATGATTTGCAGATGACATGATACTATATATAGAAAATCCTAAAGACTCCACCAAAAAAACAAAAAACAAAAAAACTAGAACTGATAATTACAGTAAACTGACACAAAACCAATGAACAGAAATCTGTTGCACTCTTATACACTAATAATGAAGCAGCAGAAAGCGAAATTAGGAAAACATTCCCATTTATAATTGTACCAAAAATAATAAAATATCCAGGAATAAACATAACTAAAGAGGTGAAAGACTTGTACTCTGAAAACTAAAAAACACTGGTGAAAGAAATTCAAGACAATACAAAAAATGGAAAGACATTCCATGCTCAAGGGTTGGAAGAACAAATACTGTTAAAATATCTATGTTACCCAAAGCAATATACAGATTTAATGCAATCCCTATCAAAATACCAACAGCATTTTTTACAGAACTAGAACAATCCTAAAATTTGTATAGAACCACAAAGGACCTAGAAAGCCAAAGAAATCTGAAAAACCAAAAACAAAACTGGAGGTATCACAACTGAAGATTTCAAGTTATATTATAAAACAGCAGTAATTAAAACAGAATGGTACTGGCATAAAAATAGACATATAGATCAATGAAATAGAATATAAAATACAGAAATAAATGCACAATTATATGGTCAATTAATCTTCAACAAAGGAGGAAAGAATATACAATGGGAAAGAGTCTCTTCAACAAATGATGTTGGGAAAACTGGACAGCCACATGAGAAGAATGAAGCTAAACCACTTTCTTTCACCATACGCAAAAATAAACTCAACAGATTAAAGATCTAAATGTGAGAACCGAAACCATAAAAATTCTTGAAGACAGCACAGGCAGTAATTCTCTGACATTGGCCATAGCAACATTCCTCTACATAGATCCCCTGAGGCAAGGGACATAGAAGCAAAAATAAACTATTGGGACTATATCAAAATAAAAAGCTTTCAGCGAAAGAAACAATCAACAAAATCAAAAGACAACCTACTGAATGGGAGAAGATATTTGTAAATAACATAAGCAATAAAGGGTTAGTATCCAAGATACACAAAGAACTTAAACAACTCAACATCCAAAAGATAAATACTCCAATTAAAAAAATGGGCAGAAGACATGAACAGACATTTCTCCAAAGAAGACATCCAGATAGCCAACAGACACATGAAAAGATGCTCAACATCACTCATCAGGAGGAAATGCAAATCTAAACAATGATATATCACCTCACATCTGTTAGAATGGCTAAAATCAAAAACACAAGGAAGAACAAGTGTTGGCAAGGGTGTGGGAAAAAAGGAATGCAAACTGGTGCAGCCAATGGAGAAAACAGTATGGAGGTTCCTCAAAAAATTAAAAATAGAACTATCCTACAATCCAGTAATCACACTATTGGGTATTTATCCCCCAAAATACAAAAACACTAATTCAAAGGGATACGTGCACCATATGTTTATGGCAGCGTTATTTACAATAGCCAAATTGTGGAAGGAGCCCAAGTGTCCATTGATAGATGAATGGATAAAGAAGATATGGTATATATACAAAATGGAATACAATTTAGCCATAAAAAGAATAAAATCTTGCCATTTGCAATGACCATGGATGGAGTTAGAGAGGATAATGCTAAGTGAAATAAGTCAGAGAAAGACAAATCCCATATGATCTCACTCATATGAGGAATTTAAGCAAAACAAATGAGCAAAGGAAAAAAGAGAGAAAGAGACAAAACAAGAAACAGACTCTTAACTATAGAGAACAAACTGATGGTTACCAGAAGAGAGGTGGATGGGGGGGTGGGGTGAAATAGGTGATGGGGATTAAAGAGTATATTTATCATGATGAAATAACATAAAATAGATATATATATATATAAAGAAAATATAAATAAAAATAAATGGTAGACTGAATTTGTTTTACAATCTGCCTTTAAACCCTGGCTGGTTCACTTAGCATCAGTGAATCTGGGGAAATTATTTAATCTCTCTGAGTCTTACCTTTCTCACTTAAAAAAGGTAGATAAAGCTTAATTTACAGCATTTTGAAGATAATTAAAGCCTGTGAGAAATTGAATAGGAGATTGTCTTAGGCACTTGATATCACTTAACAATGTTCATCTATCTCTAAGTTATAGCTGTGAATTTTACTCCTATCTCATAAGCATTTTCCTTTTAGAAGATCTTCTTGGGAGTTCTAGCTTTCTGCTGGCTAGGAGCACTTAATGATGAGGTTCTAGGGAATGGCAAAACCACAAAGTGAAAGAAATCTGTGTCCTCAATTCAACATGTATAGAAGAGCTACCTATATACTAGGAGAGCTCACTTTGGATTCTGACAAAAAATAAGTTTGAGTCATAATATACCTTTGGTGTTAATTTGTAAAAGCTAATTCGCCTATGCTAATTAATATATTCCTGAAAGATACTACCAATATTGAGATCTCTGGCCTCCTTCTCTCCTCAACCTCAGGAACCTGGCAATAAAGATCATTCCTCACAGATGGAACACTGAAAGTTTCTTTGCAGGGGAAATCTTACTAGACAAGAGAAATAACTGACAGACCATGACAGCTGAGGTGAGGGAAGTACACTGAAGGTCCACTTAGGTCACATCACAGTAAAGTCCATTACTTAACAAGACCTACCCACACTCATAGAGCTTTCAAAATTTTTTTTGTCTCACTCCAAATATAAGCTGATAGACAAAGGTCATGAAACAATAAAATTTTCATAACTTAAGAGTTTCCAGATTGGAGAGGGTCTACTGAAATAATAGATGGGAAAAAAAATTATTCCAAGGCACATTATTGTGAAATTTCAGAAAATCAGGAAAAATGAGAAAACATAAAAGCTTCCAGAGAGAAACAAGTCACATACAAAAAAAATCAGGAATCAGAGTGGCATAAATTTTTCACTAGAAGCTATAACGCAATGAAGCATTACCTTTAAGAATATGAGGAAAAATTAGTGCCAATGTAGAATTTTATACCCAACCAAACTATAAATTAAGAGGGTTGATTAAAGACCGTTTTGGAGATGAAGTTCTCAAAAGTTTAATTCCCATGTACGCTCTCCTAAAATTAGGAGGAAAAAAAAAAGACAAGATCCTGAAAACAGGAGGTCGAGACAAGGCAAATGATATTCTCCAGGATATTAGTGAAAGGAGATCCCAGAAGTACTACCATGCCACCTTAGAGAGCAACTAGTCCACACTGGAGCAAGAGAACAATGAATTCCCAACAGAAAACTCTATTAGATGAAACTGATAAGCTGATTAATAGGTTTTAACCACATTGAGAAAAAAAGTATACTTTTGGCAAAGAATTTGGTGACTAGTAAATGACAGGTATAAAGAAAATAAGAGAAACAAATGAGAGAGAGAGAAAAAAAAATAGTCACCCGCTATTGATGAGTTATAGGTTTAAGCCATATAGCAGTACCTTAAACTAGAAGATGATTTCTCTTGTAAAATAAGTCCAGAGATAGGCAGTCCACAGCTCCTAGGATGGTGTTCCCCGGTGTCAGAACCTAGGCTTCTTCTCTCTTGTTCCACCATCTCCAGCATGTGGCTTCTACCACACAGTCCAAGAGATTTTCCGATTATACCCACATTTCAGCATGCAGAAAGAAGAAAGGGCCAAAGAGGAGAACCATCCCCCCTACACTGCTTAAGATCACTTACAGTTAAAGTCATTAATGCTCTAAATTAATGCACTGTCCAGGACTTAGTCACATGACTGCACCAAGCTGCATAGTTTCTACTGCAAATTTTTAAAAAGGGGGGCCTGAAGGAGAATGGATAATGATAAAACAGCTAACAGTCTCTGCTACCTCCCTCCAACACTTTCTATTCTTCAGATCTTATTTCTTCATAGTATTGATTCTCAATTGATTCATGTATTCATAGTATTGATTCTTCTTCATAGTATTGATTAATCTTGGACATATTGTCTCATTTGTTTGTTTCCCTAACCTTTAAGTTCTAAGAGGACAAGAACTCTATCTTTTGTTCAACTCTGTACCCCAGTTACTGCAAATGTGCTTGAAACATAAAAGAAATTTAACAAATATGGGTTGAATGAGCCAATGAGTTAGTTAATTCAAGAGGGGATAAAAGCTAAGAAAATAAATTTAAACATTAAAGATCCAGTCTGGGTACAGATGATGCTTTGTTTTCTCTACATTAGTTAGAAATGGATGCCATCATCCAGAAAAACTGACTCATCCCCTCTGGAATTATAATTTTTAAAAATCTACTTTCTGCTGAATAGATCATTGAAAAGTCTTTGCACAAGGTACAACTAATTCCCTGGTCCTAATAATGTAAGTAATATGATATTAATGTCTGCAATAATGTAATTATTAACAAGAATGTTAACATTAACATAACGTAGATAAGGTAAATTAATGAAATCAATTAACTATTTTTAACGTAAGCATTAGACGCTGGAAGGAAAATTATTTTGATGGAGTGGTACATAAGAGACTTAAATCCTCTTCCTGCATAAAAGTCAACAGATACTACCTATAACTGAAAAAAATCAAGAAATAGCAGAAAATGCCTATTATTTAAAAATATACAAACAGGCATTAGAAGAAACAGCTTGAAATGCTGAAGGTTTTATTTTGGTGACCAATAACCAGAGACAGGGACTACTGACTAGATCAGAAGTCAGCTGTTTTGCTTTTAAGGTTTACAGAATTATCTAGTTTTAAACAGTGTATGTTTAACTTTTACTTTTTTCACGTCTGGTTCAGCGCCCTCATTCCTCTGAGCTCCTGAGAAATACAATATAAATTATTAGAAGCCTTAGGAGGCCATGCTGGGGTGGCGATTAGGGAAAGAGGATGCACTTCATGAGGAAAAGTGAAGGCTCCTGGTCTTTATGTAAATCACCCCGACTAACGATTAACCAGGGCAAAAACCTCCACGATTTTAAATGCACAGCATTACGCGTGCACGCATCATACTCCCTTCGCAAAGACAAACACACTCGCATTCTGCACACGAACTCTTAAGAACTGTTGCGCGACTGCGCATGGAGACGAGGTGACGGGCTCAGAAAGGTGGCATAGGAACGATCCCCGCCTTCTGCCAATCCTAACGTCCCCTCTGACGCTGGGTAAGCACGTCTGAGGAAACAAACGGAGGACCAAAGCGCACGTGCCGCCCAAACGCGCCGGGCGCGGGGCCCCGGAGGACGCGAGCAGTCGGGGCGGTGCCGCCACGCCTCCCGGCACCAGAGGCGGAGCTCACGCCGCGGAGTCCCGCCCCAGCCTGCGTCCGCCCGTAGTCCAGTCGCTGCTCTTTTCCAGGCGGGTAAGCCCTAACAGGAGGAATCTAAGAAAGAGTACCGGCTGGCTGGCCTTCGCAGCGCTCGAAGCCCCGCCATGCTCGTCCTCCGAAGCGGCCTGACTAGGGCTCTGGCTGCGCGGAAGCTTGCGCCTCAGGTACCCGCCGCGGAGACGCGCCCAAACCGTGCCTTGGGGGAGGGGAGCGGGCGTCAGCTGGGAGCTCGCCGCCCCGCGCATGCGCTACCCGATTTGCTCGCCCAGACTTGCGAGTGCCGCGCGTGCGCCCAGGCCGTTCGCCAGTGCAGCTTGCGGGATGGAGCCGCCGCGGAAGTTATAGTGGCGGTCCCAGGCCCGGAGGCGGGGCATTCCAGGACGCGAGGGAGGAAGCGGGGCGCAGTTCGCTCCAGCTGCTGCGTTTGCTACGTTGGGGCCAGTGCCTGGTGCTTGCTGGTCGAACGTTCCTATTAATTTTGTCCTTTGACAAGCCATCGTACCCTCCAGACAGAAGGTAGAAGAGAAATAGGTCAACCAGCCGTTGGCGAAAGAACAGGCCTCCCCCGTTTAAATAAAACGTACACAACTTCGGAGCGTTTTGCAGAAAACCTTGAGGAGGAGGGCCAGGGTGCCAGTGGTGGAGTATCCTGCCCAGCGGCCAACTGCCTCGTGCGGGCGGTGGCCGAGCCAGGCAGGGCCAGGAACCTCTTGGCAAACAGGATGGTAACCTCACTTAACCTTAGATGAGAAAAACACACGATAGATTTTTGTGATTCAGCCTTAACTGTCAGGACTTGGCCTATTCTGTGAATCTACAGAATTTTTCCTTTGATATTGAGGCTTGTACTTTTCTCGAAGGGTATAAGCGAAAGGGGATGAACCTACTCTACAGACTGACTCTGCTGAAGACTGAGGAACCAGCGATGACCCATTAACCCAAGATTAGCAATCCAGTCTTAATCTTTCCTGATTGACACTCTACTGGGGCAGGGCCAAGAGTTATTCCTTACAACTTTACTCTGAACTTTGATTATTAAATGTCGGCCAGTTGTTCTAATTGGAAAAAATTCCAATGATGAGTTATATTCTCAGGGTCCTGGGATCTAACCCCACCTCTGGCTCCCGCCCTTAGCACAGAGTCTGCTTGTCCCTCTCCCTCTGCTCCTCCCCCCCCCCCCCCCCCCCTCTCGTGCGCTCTCTCTCTCTCTCTCTCTCACATGAATGGATAAATAAAATCTTTTTTAAAAATTAAAAAAAAAAGGGCACCTGGGTGGCTCAGTTGGTTAAGCGACTGCCTTCGGCTCAGGTCATGATCCAGGAGTCCCCGGATGGAGTCCCACATCCGGCTTCCTGCTCAGCGGGGAGTCTGCTTCTCCCTCTGACCCTCCCCCCCTCATGCTTGCTCTCTCTCATTCGCTCTCTCAAATAAATAAAATCTTTAAAAAAAATTTAAAAAGCATAGTAACTCAAGACAATTGTGACTCATTGGAATTGGAAGTCAGTGCCGAGGAAAATGAGCCTTTCTTTGGAGATTAGGGAGCCTAAAGCACTTATGTTTCCTTCCCTAGCGTACTAGTCCTGTATTGTGGTTGCATAGTTTTGGTGTCCCTCAACAAAAATCACCTACCCCTTTCCACACACATACACATCTTATTGCTTCATTGCTGTTAACCTCTCCCTGAGCTTCCCTATTATACTCTTCTGCAAAAGGTAATAAAAATGTGTGCCTGTGATCACTTATTTTGTTCCCCAAATACAAATTCCCTGAAAAACAACTTAAAAGCAATTGTCACAAGTACCCCATTGGCCTATTTTTGATACATTTATATTTTACTTATAATATTTTTAAGCTATAAATATTAGGCAGTTTTCATTTGCATAGCATTTTGTTATTAGAGTAGTATAATGGCACAAAAAAGAATGTTTGCCAAACATAGGGGCTGCAATTGTTTTTGATGGCAAATGTCAATCAGACAATAAGAATATAACTCATCATAGACATGAATGGAATGAGCTCAAGATAGATGATTATAATTCAGTCTTATACACAAGTAAAATACATATACTATTCTGCTTTGTAAAAAAAAATATATGTCAGAGCAAGAAGCATACTGCTTTTGATTGTTGGAGCAGGTAGTCAGCATAAGCCCAAAATTCATCCATAGCTTTATAGATATGAAAACTGTTATAATAGATTATGCTGGGTGTAATCAGGTTTAGGAAATATGCACATGCTAATCAAACTTATGTAAGATGGATTTGTAAACTAGAATACCATATGAGTGTGTCTGTTTATATACATATATCTGTGTGTACATTTACACATATAAACACATATACACAGGATAATTCCTGGCAAAGCATTTCCCACTGAAAGTTCAGTTCACTCAGAGACCCAAATTAGAAATTTACATAGTGAACATATGACTATTACAAAAGGAACTAATGGTTCTTAAAAAGTATTTCCATTAACATGGTATAACTGGGTGGGTTAAATGCCCTTCTTCAGACTGCATCTATAATTAAAAACATAATGACTCAGGAGTACCTGGGTGGCTCAGGTGGCTAAAGTGTCCCAACTCTTGGTTTCAACTCAGGTCAGGATCTCAGGGTCCTGGGATCTAACCCCACCTCTGGCTCCTGCCCTTAGCACAGAGTCTGCTTGTCCCTCTCCCTCTGCTCCTCTCCACCCCCACCCCCACCCCTGGCTCATGTGCACTCTCTCTCAAATAAATGGAAAAATAAAGTCTTTTTTAAAAAATTAAAAAAAAAACATACTGACTCAAGACAATTGTGACTCATTGACTTTTTTTTCCTTTTTCTAGCTTTATACATCCTATGACTACATTACAATGCAATTGGATAGGTCATAGTTTCCTATTACATTAGTTAGATTTCTATCCTATTTTTATTTTTTTAAGAGAGAGAGAGGGAGAGGGAATGTTAAGCAGGCTCCATGCTCAGCACAGAGCTGGAGGCAGGGATCTCACAACCCTAGATCATAATCTCAGTGGCAATCAAGAACTCGGCGCTTAACCAACTAAGCCACCCAGGTGCCCCTCTATCCTATTTTTTGACCAATGGTTTACTTCATTGAATTTGGGAAATACTTTGACCTGACCAGCAATTTCCATTGTTTTAAGAACCTAAAAAGGAAGGAAGGAAGGGAGGGAGGGAAAGAGGAAAGGAAGAAAAGAAAAGAATTTTCTGCTAGTAAACACATTTCCATTGTGCTAGCCAAAATAATATATATTTTATAAAATTGTTTTTAATGTTTAACTCTAACACATACATATACTATTGACTAAATAAGGGATATTTAAACTATTTGCAAAACTTATTAGGATCCTAATTGTAGTTTTTGGGTAAAGAAATTGCCCCAGTGGCTTCTTAGAAGAAACTTCTCATGAAAAAGCAACTAGAGGTAGACTACCTACAAGGACATAGTAGCTATATATTTGGAATACTTAAAAGTAGTTTTCTTTACTGATACCTCTCTAAACAAATTATCTGTGGAGAAAGGACCACAGAGTACAAACAGATTGTGAGTCTACTGAGTGTCCCTTGTTTTCAGACTCAGATTTGGTTGTAACATGATATTATAAACCCTACTTTCCCAAAATATTTAAATTTGCCTTATCTTTCTTTAGGTGTGCTCATCTTTTGCTACAGGCCCCAGACAATACGATGGAACACTCTATGAATTTCGTACCTATTATCTTAAGCCCTCAAAGATGAATGAGTTCCTGGAAAATACTAAGAAAAACATTCATCTTCGGACAGCTCACTCTGAATTGGTTGGATACTGGAGTGTAGAATTTGGAGGCAGAATGAATAAAGTGTTTCATATTTGGAAGTATGGTATGAGTCATCAGCTTAAGTATTCAGTACAGATTTTCATTCTGTTAGATGTTACCCACGACTTAGTGACTTAGTTCTTGGATCTACATTACTATAAATACATACAGGTGAAGTAAAACCTTTAAATAGCAATACCAAAAAAATTCAGGGATTATGCCTCCCAGTGGTATACCTGTAGTAACCCATTGCTGGAAACGTTTATTAGCATATGAGAATGTGATAGAAAATGGCATCTCAGATTTCAAGTCATAAAATTATGAACCACACTTAATTCTTAGGAAAAGTTAAGAATAGCTTATTGTAAAGATGGTTTATGAAAAATTTAAAGCAGTGATTGCAAGAACCCAAGTGGGTTAAGATGATAAAAGAGGAGTAGAATTTTTTTTTTTACTGAAGCTATAGCTCGATATCAGTGTTCTAACAGACATCATTCAAATCTCTAGAGGCTTTAGTGAAATAGAAGTTAATAGGAGATGATAGTAAACTTCGAAGCCCTCACCCTTCTGTAAGATATAATAAATCTGTCAGGTTTCGGACCACTTTTGTTTTATTTCTGTACCCCCAGAGTTTCAAGGAATTCACTCTCATGACACTAGTTTAGGGAAGTAAAGGAAAAGGAATTAGAGTTCTTTCCATATTGAAGCTGATCAATCCCTGGTTTAGTAGAGGAAGGAGTATGGTTCCTGGAATCCCCAGAATGTTTGTTACTCCATTGTTTAATCTTTCTGAAGTCTACTGTAGTACATCATGATATCCAGAAACTTTTAATAATTTCATTTAGTATTTGGTCATCAGTGTCCAAAGTTAATAATCATAAAATAACATGAAAAGTGCTCATTCTGTACTTAGCATGTCCATAGTCTAGAGGTTTTCCCAACTGTAGTAGAACAAACCCCATAAAAACACAACTTATGCTTTAATGCACCGCCAGTTGAATCATATCCCAGTTAAAAAAAGAAAAAAACAAAACTGCTAGTACAGTCCTGATAAAACTTACTTAAGCTCTAAGATAGATGTTATTCCTTATCCTCAGCATAAGCCATAGAAAACTATTTTACCGTTCGTCTTGTGAGGCCCTAATAGTTAAATGTAGTACTGGGCCCATATGTTAGCAAATATATGTACTTGTTTGGGAAACAAAGAGAAGAGAAATAGTACTGAGTAAAAAGAAGGGATGACGGGCGCCAGGGTGGCTAAGCGGCTGCCTTCGGCTCAGGTCATGATCCTGGGGTCTTGGGATCGAGCCCCACGTCCAGCTCCCTGCTCAGCGGAGAGCCTGCTTCTCCCTCTCC